TTGAAATTTTATAAGTAGAAATTATAGATATTTATTTATTTATTTTTATTGCCAATTTGGAAGAAGAAGAATTTACAAAAAAAATTTAAAAGAAATTCTTGCAAAAATATATATTCTGGACTAAAAACAGATTATTGGCAACAATTTATATTTTTCAAAAATAATATAATTATAAAATTTTAAATTTACATATTTTGTTTTAAATTTTAACATGTAATATATAAATCAGATATAGTAAATTTATTTTTAGGCATAAAAATTGTAAAAAATATTTTACTTTCAAATACAATTTTTTAAAATACGAAAATTTAAATTAAAACATTAAATCATGGTTCTCATCGACAAAATGCCGCTCAAAAGTATAAAAATCTCGATTTAAAAGTAGATAGGGACAAAATTTTCAAAAAAAAGTACACTCTAAATTAAATTAGAACTCTAAATTAAACTTAAGCCAGATTTCTTCGTTTTTTCAAAATGTTGATTTAAAAGTTTAAATTTTCAAATTTTTAAATTTAAATTTTTGTAATAAAAACTTTCAAAAAAGTACATATTCAATTTCGTAAGTATGGAGGTCGATTTAAAAGAGAATACTTTTAAAAAGTACGAATGAGAACCCTGCATTAAATGTTTTTTCATTTTAAACTAAAAATAAATAAATTTAATGGTTCAAGTGTTGAATGTCTTGTTGTATCTACTCGATTATGTCATCTTCAATAAATTAAAATTATTTAAAAGTATTCTAAATTATTGAGCTAAATTTAGATTTAATGAATTATTTTTTAATTTTTCAAAAATTAAAAAAGAAATTACATTTATTTAATTTTCAATTCATTAAAAATCTAAATTTAATATTTATTTTTAAATATTTATTTTGTTAAAAACAAATAATAATATTTAAAAATTTACGTATATTCTATTTTCAACACAATATTAATTGTTTATTATTACCTCACTAATTTTTTTTCTAAATTTAATAAATAAATAACTATAATTAAATAAAATAAGTAGTTTATGCCATTATGTGCATAAATAAGCTTTCAAGTCCCGCCCTTTTAATTGTAAATATAAAAGATAAAAATAAATAAGAATATTTATAAATTTATATTACTTATAGTCAGTAAAAAAGCCTTTCATTTAATAAAAAAATATTTATTTTAAATTAAAATGAATTTTATAAAATTATTATTAATTATTTCCCCAATTATTCTCTCATTTATTTTACCAAATATAAAAGCTTCTCGCGATTTACGGCACAGACGAAGAGTACAGAATTTTGCAATGCTTAGAGATTGGCCTGTATCTACTTCAAAATACCCATCAAAAATAAATAATAAAAATAATCAAGGAATTAATCCTCCTTCAATTTATCCTTTGGGAATACATCCAATGTGCTTTTTTACTTCCCTTCCATGCCCAGATTCTTATAATAAATTGAGGAAAAATGCTTTTAAAAGAGGAGGAACTAATACAAACAACAGTGTGAATAAAAGAGAATTGAAAAGTAGAATGGAGAAAGCTAATGTAGAGGAAATAGAAATTCAAGCAGTACCTGTAGAACAACAAGAAGAGGAAGAAAACGAAGATTTAAAACAAAATAACGAGAAAGTATTTGAAATTAAAGAAGAAGAGAAGGTTAATGAAGTACCTGCGGAGGAGGAAATAAATGAAGAAAATAAAATAAAGGATGAAGACATGGAAGAAAAATTAGTCAATCAAGAAGAAATGATTGATAATGAAATTAAAGATAATAAAATTGAAGAAGAAATTCAAAAAGAAATAAGAACTAAAAAATTTCTAAAATCCTTAAAAGTTGGATGTCCTTTACGTATATCAATTCTTTGTCGTGGACAAAATAGGCTTTTAGAATTAAGTGATTAAATTGGTTATTAAATTAAAATAAAATAAATTATGTATATTATAAATTTGTATATTTAATTAATAAATTAATAAATAAATTGTATATTTTACTTATTTTTAATTGAAAATCTTAGATGATTGAATTGAGTCATATTTTGATACAAGTTTTAACAAAAAAAATTAGGTTGACCCACTCCTTATAAGTTAATTAAAAACACTTTTTTTAATTTTCAAAATAGGTAATTATTTAAATAATATTCTTTACTTGAAAAAATCATTCTTTAATTATTCAATTTATTTAATTATAAAATTTAAAAAATTCTACCTGTAAAATTAAATTTTAATTAGTTATGTATTTTTTTCTAAATAAGTAACGTTAGGATCTTAAAATTTTTAAATAAATAACAAATTATTTTACAAAAAATACCTAATATTTATGTATATTTATATTTTTTCTAAAAATAATTTTTAATAATATAAAATTAAATTTCTATTTGAATAACAAATTGTTAACGCAAAGAAACAAAAATAAAATTTTTAATTAGAAATTATTTTTTATTTAAAAATTCTTGACAGCAAGAAACTCTTTGTTGTAATTTTAGAATTCATATACAGAGTAGTGTTTCACCGGAACCGAAATTTTGACCGGAACCGGAACCGGAACAGGATCCAATTTAAGTTCCGGTTCCCGGAACCGGAACCGTTACTTTTCAAAGTTCCGGCCCGGAACCGGGAACCGGAACCGGAACTTTTAAAAAAATTTTTGCTAGCACATTTTAAAAAATTTTTATTTTAAGTAGGGGTGCGGTTTCGCCAAATTTTTCGATTAAATTCTGCCAAATTCTTCTGTTAATCGAAACGAAAAAAAATCCAAGTTTTGGAAGACCAAATCCCCAGCTATTCAATCCCTGATATCTAACTTGCACAGCTCATTCCCTGGACATCACACCCAAATCCCTCTATATTACCTATAACCCCTTGAACTCACATAATGTAACTCAAAATCCACCTTCATCCACCTTCATCCATCCAAATCCTTCGATTTACCATACAACTTCCCTTCATAGCGCCTCAGGCAAAAATTTTGGGATTTTAGGTGAACCAAGGATACAAATTTCTTCCTTTTTAAGCGCCGCAGGCGAAAATTTTGAGAATTTGTGTGACCAAGTAGCTAGATTTCTTCATTTTCTTGCGCCGCAGGCGAAAATTTTGAGAATTTTGGAAGGCCAATCAGGGAAAGCCAATCCATATTTCTCAAAAAAACTAATCCTTAGGGGTGTAAAAAAGTTCCGGTTTGCCCGGAACCGATTTGTAAACCGGAGCCGGAACCGGAACCGGAACCAATTTGAGTTCCGGTTCCCGGAACCGGAACCGGAACTAAAAAAACACCGGAACTTTCCGGAACCGGAACCGGAACCGGAACTTCCGGTGAAACTCTAATACAGAGTAGTCATGATTTACGTCCATAGTATTAAAGATTGATTTTTTGATTTTATCTAATAAAAGAATTAACAATTTTTTTATTATTTTTTTCGAAAAACAAATAGACTCAATCATAAAAAAATTAATTAAAAAATTTTTTGACTCATTAAATTATAATAAAATAAATATTTAAATAAAGCCGTATTTCCGGCTCATCTACATAATTCTTTTAAATCGCAACAAATAATCATGTGTTACTTGGATGTTTAATATTAAAAGGAAGATAACAAATAAAATTAAATTTTTAAGTACATACTGTACTATTAAATATTTTTGTTAAATGTTAGTTCCAAAATTAATTAAAGTTATTTATCGGCTACATATAAATAACTTATTTTATTATTTATTATTAGAGCCCGGATTTTTATGCAAATGCATATTTTTTTTGCAAACTTTTCATGATGTGTTATGCACAAAAAACACTGTTTCCGCAAGTTTTGAAAACATTAGAGGGGGTTTCTATTTGCATATAATGCATATTTTTGCATATTCCGGACTTTGTTGCATAATGCATATTTTACTGCATATTTTGAGGTTTTTGGGGAAAATATTGCGAAAATTGCCTAAAATCCTGCCAAAAAGTGAAAATTTAGGAAAAAATTTGTAAAAATTACAAATTTTGTAAAAAAATTTTTGTGTTTATTGGTTTCGCCAGAAAATGGCCCACCCCCATAATGTCTCAGCCCCAAAACGTCGCACCCCAAGATGTCCCACCACCAAAATGCCTCATCTCAAAATGCCCAACACCGTAAAAATGCTCAATTTGTCGAACTATACATTTGAAATAGGAGAAATCTTAATAAAAAATGTATTTTAAATCATATTGACTAAAAATATGTAAAATTTTTAGGTATAAATGGTATTTTTCATGCATATATGCGTGTATATTTTGGTTTACTTGCATATTTTTGTGCATATTTTGGCAATTTTTTATGCATATTATAGTGCATATTTTGCATTTTTTAATGCATAAAAATCCGGGCTCTATTTATTATACATATATCGCCTTACATTCATTTAATTTCCGTCAATTTTTTTAAAAAAATGAGTGGGTGATGCTTATATACGTTATAATATCTCGTGACTTTTAAACATTAAAGTTATCATATTTTGATTATTTTTTGTATTAAAGGATGTTAGGCTATAAATATTTAAACGTATTATTAGATAAATCCTACATAAACTTACTAAATTTATTTAAATTTTAAACAAATAAAATTCTCTTAAATAAGAGTAGTAATATAAAGAGCATGTGAAAAAATATACATAAAAAACTTTATTATTAATTTTTGATATTAATTTTAATTGTTTTAATTGTGAACTAAAAGTGGTTAAATTTACATAAATTATTGTTTTCAGCCCCTAATTTTTCAGCTGGTTAGCATTTAAAACGCTTAAAACTCGTTAAAATTTATGAATGGTGTAGTAACTGTTAAAATACTTGCTTTATTTAAATACAAAAAAGAACAATAACTTATTTTCTAAATAAAAATGGAAGAGTGAAATTATAAGTACCTATATTGAATGGGGTTAAATTTAAACTTAATAATTATTAAAATTAATCAGAATATGAAAATAAATATTTTATTATTTTTACAAATATTTACAGACACAAATTTAGCCAACAATACAAAACAAAAATATTTAGAGATATATATTCTTTAAACTTTGTTTTGTTCATCTTTCTTAACTTTATCTTTCGCTCCCGCGTTCAAATTGGTTTCAGACAGAATTATAGGGCACAGTGGAAGGAAAATAGGAACATCGCAAGAATAAATCTTTAATTTAAAAAATTTATTTATCATTTCTCCCAATTAAAAACCGACCCTCTCCAAAGCATCCTCACAGCTTCTAGCAGTATTTAATGCATCAAAGAGTTGTTTAATTCCTCTTGTTAGCGAAGTATTATTACCGCTAAACGCACTTAATACCTCCCACGGATCAGTTACTTGCATTTGTAAAATACGAAAGTAGCTCATTTTGCCGATAGTTGCTTCTCTTTAAATTTTGGAATTTTTAAATAATTTAATTTTTAAAAAATATTCTCACCGACTAACAGGCCAAATATTCCGTCCCGGCAGAATAAGTTTGAACACCGCTTCCTGTCCGGGCCCAATTAATCCAACATTAGGAGAAGCCATTAAAGGAACACAGGCCTTTTCAAATTTTGCAAGTTGTTCTTGTGACAGAAAAGGATCTCTTGGCTAAGGGAAAAAAATTTTTTTAACGTCCAAAAACAACTAAATAAAATCTCACTTCATAATGTTGCACTTTAAAGACAATCCATTCATGCTTTGAATTATTATGCAAAGTGATCGGAATGAATTGTGAATTCTTATAAGAGTTTTTCCCGCTAAAGGCTGCAATACTGGAAAAGAAAAAAAATTTTTTTAATCTCAATAAAGAGTCTAAGCAACTCACCAAGGCCCAATTAAGAGTTTTTTGCTTGGAAGAGAAACAGCACATTCACACAATTCCCATGTAATTTCTCCTTGTTCATCAACAAACATCATTGACTGAAGAGAATCCGTAGTATCCGGCACATGTTGACGCGGTAATCCAAAAAATGTTCGCCTTAGAAAGTTCATAATGATGCAAGCTTTGATTAATTGTGGAGATTGTTAAGTTTGAATGAAGGGATTAATTTTAAATTTTAAAATGACCGTTTAAATAAGTAAAAACTAGGCTATGTCGACTGATGTAAAATAAAGCAAAAGGTCAAGAATTACTCTCGATCAGTGACGGGCACAACAGACAATTGGATTAAGTGGATTTAGATAGACTCCAATAGGTATGTTGATGATATCGTTATGTGAGGAAGCTTTTGCATTTACATCTCCCTTTACTTGCGGAAGGTGATCATTTTTAGAAGAATTATCACTCTGCCACCCTCAGGTTTTTTTTCAACTTTAGAACTTTAGGGGTCTTCCTTGCCTTAGCCTAACCAAACTTTCGGTACTATTTCCTTAACGATTTTGGTTTCTAAAAGATATAATCTAAAGCCGAATGACCGGATCTTACTTAAAAAACTTTTATTTCTATTAAATTACCAAATTTATTATTGTCTTGATTTTATTTTAATTTTTTTAATTTAATGATCATTAAATTCTATTAGCGTTATATTTTCAGCGAATTTGTGCATACCATTTTATAAAGCAACACTTACTTGCATAATTATTTAATATAAGGTAAAAGAATTTAAATAATTGTGACGAACAATATTCGGTAATGACATCTAATTTTGTTAACATACCTTCATTTTTTAAAAAAATTTCAAAATTTGCGTAAATAAATAATTAAATTATTAGAAAAAATTGTAAATTATTTTTTTACAAAATAATTTTAAAAATATATAAATAAAGGATACTTTTAATTTCGAAATTTAATTATAACGTTTATTATCTTTGCCTTTTTTAAATTCAAATGACTGGTTTTAAAAAATTTTAAATGTCGTTTATTTTTATTTGTAACATTACTGCTGCCCTCTAAATAAATAAAAAAAAGCTTTTTCTGCCTTTTAAGTTTATGAATCAGAAAATATTTTTATAAAATTAACTAAAAATCATTTTGTACTAGCTATGTATATTTATTTGAAAAAATCCCTTTAAATATGTTAACACCACAATTGTTTAATCAAAATAATGAACATACATTAATAGGAAAACAAGCAATGCTTCGAACATGGTTAAAGGTAAATATAAATTTTTAAACGATCATGTTTATTTTTTACATCCTATTTCATTTCTTTAATAAACATCCCTTTGATTTAAATATTTATTCAAAGTTTTTAGTAATAGAAACATATTTGAACATATTTGGGAAATAATTATTTGTCCAATTATTAAATATTTTTTAACTAGATAATAATAACTTGAAAATACTATTTATTAACCTAATTCTAAAAAGAAGTTACTAATTTACAAATATTTTATCTACAAATATATTCCGGTGTATTTAATATTTAAAATACTTTTAATCTAGTTTTAATTTTTACCTGTTTTGTTCCTTAATAAATCATAAAAATTCTTGAACAATCTCTTTATATAATTATTTTTCGTCACATATTCGAGGACACTTGACTGTCCTTTAATGATGAGCCGTTCTATGCATATTGTCCATCTTTGTTAGATTTTTAAATTATTTGTCCGTTCCTTGTCCATTCAAAATTATAACGTAAAAAATTGCAAAAACTTTATTAAGTCTACCTAAATTTAAAAAAATATTTTCAAATTAAAATCAAAAAAATATATTTAAATTTATCAAGATAATTATTTTTCTCTTTTTATTTTGTTGTACAAAATGAATGATTTGTTTGAATTATTTTTTGTGCCATCCGCTCGTCGGCGTTCTCATCATTCTAAATTACCTCATAATAAAAATGATTCATCGACTGATTTACAACCCTCCCTTGATTCTTTTCCTTCAAACTTTGTTACTTTAGAAAAACAGGTGTATTATTTAAATCTAGAGTTATAAAATACAGGAAAGTATTTATTTATGTTCATATACTATATTCAAACTTCATACTATATTCATACTACATTTACCTAAATAAGATACATACTTGTTTTTAATTTAAATTTTAATGGTTCATTTCTTTCAAAACAAAAATTAAATATTATTTTAAATTTTTACATATGTATTCTTTCCTTTAAAATACATAATAATTTAATTTATTTTTTGAATAATTTTTAAAAATTATTAGCAAGTAGAGGAAGAACAAAGACGTCGTTCATATCCACCACCTTCAAAATACCGTTATGAAAAACGAAATTTTGAAGATGATAATTTGAAAGAAATGCAGGCAGATTTTGATAATCTAAATAATAATACAAATAATTCTGAAAATGAGGTAATTTTTATATTTAGTTTTTTTCGCACTTATTTTGGAATTCCAGTACATACTTATAAACCGACCTCCGTACTTACGAAATTGAAACTGTACTTATTTGTAAGTCCATACTTGCAAATGAACTCTTTGGTTAAAAATTAAACTATCTTTTAAAATTTTCAAAATACGAAATGCTGGCGCTTAAAAAATTTTTAACATGGGAAAATTTTAAAATTTATTTGTTTATTTATTTTTCTAATTTAATTTAGAATGTTAATTTCTCAATTTCTTCGTTAAAAAAAGAAAAATCAGCAGCAAATCAAACACAATTTTACTTAGAACAACCACCCCCTCCCCCTCCTATTAATCTTTTCCAAACACCCAAATCTTCTTTAATTTCTTCTTCAACTTGCCTCTCTTCTTTAAAAAATGATCAGGGAAAATGGCAACAACAAAAAGTTTGTTTTTCAAAAAATATTTTTGAAATACTTGAAAATAAAAATTAAATTTTTATTTTGTATTTGAGAAAAATTTTCAAAAAAATAACAAAAATTATTTTCTAAATTTAGAAGCAGAAACAACAAAAATCTGCAGAAAATAATTCCCCTTCTCCTTCTCAAATTTCAACTTGTCCATTAAGTGAAAATAAAGGGAAGAGGTTGGCAGATCTACGTTGGGTAGACCAGCCTACTGCAAGGTAATAAACATAAATATTTAATTGTTGTTAGTAGAATTGTTGTTGTTTCGAAACCAAACCTTTTACAAAAAAGAGATACCGTATTTTCTCGATTAATTCCCTTGGGGAATTATTTTTTCAATCCTTCATTGCATGGGGAATTAATCGAGGGAAGGGAATTATTCGAGTTTTGGCACTTGAACGTGGAGTAGGGTATTTGGGGGTGGGGAATTATTGTTTCAACCCAACTATAGCATGGGGAATTAATCGTGAGGGGGAATTATTCAAGGGAGGGGAATTAAACGAGAAAATACGGTAAGTATTTTTCGGTTCAGTTCTTTGATTCGGTTCTGGATATCCGAAGATTTTCTAATAACCCAACAATCCCTACTTATTATTTAATTTTATTTTAACTTTTTGATTTTTTAATTTCTTTAGAATTTAAGAAAGGATTTAAAAATTTTATATTTAATTGCCCAATTTAATAGTTGAGTGTTTTAATTTCCCAAGATTTTTTTCAACCTCTCTATTTTTATAAATTTTAAGAATTGTTTTGTCAGTTCTTTTTTTTAAATTTTTTTCTTTGTTTGTTTTTAAAAAATCAAAAACAATTTTCTTAGCGCACCCAAAGCATCTTTATTCAATTTTATTTTTATAAGACAATTTTTTGTTTATGTATATTTGTGACCAAAATTTTTCAAAAATTCACAAATCACATTTAAATATTTTTAAATTATTTAAAAATTCGAAAATATTTTTCCTATTTCTAATTTTATTTATTAAAATTAATTTTGGTACTTTTCCTTTAAATGCCCACAAATTCTTTTGCTGTAATATCTTTCGTTCGTCTTGTCGGTCTAAGTCGAACCCATTTTCTATTATCGGAAATTTTTAAGGACTGAGATATAGATTTTCGAAAATTGGAACCAAAGGCTCATTTTCGGAATATAAAAATGATAAATCATTCGAAAGAGTTCGTCGAGCTGTGTCGAATAACACTAAAATCAGCTTGATTCAATGATTTTAAACAAAATTATAACCAACTGCTAAAGTAAAGCTAAAGATTAGTGGGCATATGACGGAAAATTACCTTAATTTTTTAAATTTTATTTTTTAAAGAAAGTCAATGATGATTGCTTTAAGTTTCTTTTATGCAATGTTGGCAACTATTTTTTCATTAGTTTTCGAACTTTCTCATATAATTTCTGGTGATACAAAAAATAGAAGAAATATGGGAATTAAAGAATTGGTTAAATAATTTTAATATAAAATTTAAGGAATATTTTTCTAGATTTTTGGTTTATATATGTATGGAAGTTCAATTATATTTTTAATTTATTGTTATATTGCTCTTTTGTTACACCCAAAATGGAAAAGAAAAATAGGGGCATTAGTTGTGCATTTTAGGTAATTTATTTGAATTAATGTGTATATTATTAAGATTTTGGATAACAATTAATCTAAATGATTATTTAATTATTTTTTTGTTAATAATTTAGAAGCGAATCAAGTCAAAGCATTTTCCAGCAGGCAACAGAGAGGAAAGTATGTGTTAAAATTATATATTTTAGATACAGAATTATTCAGTTTAAATATCTTTTTTTAAAAAGGTTAGCCATAGCAGTCCAAGTGCCGGAAGTCTTTTTCTTCGTCTTGGATGTGTAGGTGAATAAATAAAAGGATTATATGTATTATTATAGGGGATCACCCGAGTATATACAGGGTGGGATATATAGGGGTTCGATATACTTCGCTGGGAGCGTGTGCCATATAAGAGATTTGACTGAACTACCGTAAATGCTCGAACAATTACTTTGGGTAATTATTGTTTCGACCTTTCGCTGGAGGGGGTAATTAATAGAGAAGAGGTGCTAAATTTCGGGTACTTATTATAAATATTTGTATTTTTTTGTTTTTTACTTAAAAATATTCTCTTTTTCTATTAAAAATTCCTTAAAATTTTACATTAGTTTTTGGTGTTATCGGCACAGTTTATTATGCTTTCAACGTTTTTCTCTGTATTAGTGATACAACTTGCCAACAAAATTACCTTATTTGGTTAGATTTACTTTCCATAATTTTTGTTTTTACACAAATGCATTTTGTTTTTTGTAATTGGAAGGTTAGAAAATATTTTTTTTTTCGAAAAAAATATTTTTCTAAAGTTAACTATAAGTCAATACCAAACAATTTGTCGGTTTGGAACAATGCATTTGGTGGCCACAAATCTTTGGATTTGGATTCGTTATATTTTAATTGAAGAATCGTTAATGGGGGATGAAATAAGGTAATCCAGAGAAATAAAAATAATTTTAATTTAAATAAAAAAGACAAGTTTTTGCTCGAAATATTGCTGGTAATAATAATGAAAATGATGATTGGGGAAGTGAAGAATTGGAAAAAAATTTAAATAAAAATATTACAAACTCTTTGTTGCCATTATTAAATGAAGAAAATTCTCAAGAATCTAATGTAGCTAGACGTTCACTTATGCGTAAATGTGAGGGGGCTGAATGTGTTCTTGGTAATTAAATTATATTTAAAATTTAAAAATAATCTTAAGCTTTATTTTTTAATACATATATAAATTAATTTTTAGCAAGTTTCAACGAAGTAATGTATACAAGGTTGGAACAATTTATAATTATTTTTTGGTTACTAATAAGGTTGTGGGATAGTTGGAAGTCTTCGGATTTCCGGATCCGTATCCATTTTGACCAATTATTAATGGATTTGGGGAAATCATAGAGGTATCGAGGAAATCTAGGATTAACAGAGATTTATTTGAAGAATGAGTCAGCGCCGGAGGCGAAAATTTTTTTAAGTTTGGAAGGCCAAAGAGCCAAATTTTTCGAATTTTTCCTAATTCTAGGATCCGAACCGAAATTTTCCGGATATCCGGATCCGACAACTTTAGTCATCAACTTGAAGTCTAATTTTATTAGATTTATAAATAAATAAGAAATTTTGACCAATATTTTTTTATTTTTAATTTTGAAGTATTGTTGAATATTCTCTTATTGGCGCTGCAGTAATGTTTATTGTTTGGAGAAATATTGGAAAAGTTGAAAATCCTGTTGAGAGATTGTAAATAAACTTCTAATAATTAAATTTAAAAAATATTGTTTAGTGGTTATGTCCCAAGAAAACACAGAATTCGATTAGATTGCTCTAAAAGCACAACTGGTTTAGAAAAAATTTTTTTCTATTTTATTTAAAAATTTAGGACTTTTCTTTGGACTTGCTTTTCTTGCTGGTACTTTTACTTCCATGGCTGTATTTTCTGGTTATACAATTATGGGTCAAAATCAACTGGCTGCTACAGTATTTGGCTTTACTGATATTGTTCATGTTTGTATTCTAAAAATTTTTTAAAAATTAAAAAACCCCTTTTAAGTATTTAATTAGTACTTGTGGGTGTATTGTTGCCCTTTGGAGGTCTTATTAATTTTAAATTTTTTTTCTAATTTTTTTAAGGATGCGTCTTTTACGTTTTCATTCACATCAAAATTATTCTAATAATAATAAAGAAACTAATCAAATAATTAATGCCCCTCCAATTTATTCTTTATCTTCAAATAATTCTACAGAATCTTCTTCACCTTCCTCTATTTGCCAAGCAAATAATCAAGTAAACTTTTAAAATGTTTTGATAAAATTTTTGTAAGGATGATTCACCTAGAGCATTTAAAACGCTTAGGCGGGGGTTAAACGATCTAACACGATAAAAGAGAAAGCATTAGTCTACGCCCCGGTAGCTTAGTGGTATAGCTCCTGTATAGGGTGAGCGAAAGCTCGACGAACTTTATAAATTCACTTTGATAGACTGACCATTTTTTACATATCTGCCGAAAAATGGCACCGAGCACCCCCTTCTTTACAAGTGCCCTAAACTTTTGCTAAACTCTTTCTTTTTATAAAAAATTTAATATTTTAAAGGAATTATTGGATATGATTTTATTGGCATTTGGAATGGTAGCTAAAAAAATTTTTTTAATTAGAAAAAAATATTTTTATTTAAAAAAAGACAGGAGAAATGATTTATTCTGTGGCTGGACTACTTGGATTAACCGGTGATCCAAATTGGCAGCCATTAACTATTATACTTTTAGCTGTAATATTTTTAATAAATTTATTTAACTTTAATTTAAATTTAGGTACACGTAACTAGAATTATTGAGGTATTTTTAATTAAAATAATTAGTATTGTAATTAATTAATTTAGGTTGCCTTACAAAGCTGTTTAATTTATATTGCTGTAAGTAAATAAAAAATATAATGGACATTAATTTCACCTCCCTCGGGATAGAACTAAGCTCGGATTTGAAGGAAAGTAAGCTGGGACGGGTGTCATTTAAGAGAGATTTGACTGGACTATTAGTTAAAAATATCCAGATTAATTCTGATACACTTAAAATTAATTTACTGCTAAAAATTGTTCCATAAGAATCCCCCTTGCTTAGAAAACTATTTGTATATTTTATTTTTGTTTTCCAATTAAAATAAAATAAAAATTAATTTTAAAATATGTATTATCAAGCCTAATTTCAAAATTACTTGAAATTTTAAAGGGAAAACTTCGTGTTGGTAATGACCCCATTTTGCGTGAAAGACAACCAGGAAAACAAGCAATAACATTTTTATTGCTAGCAAATATTTCAATGTTTCTTATGAATTTATTAGAAGCTGAGAAGGCTGGGGTTAGTGAAACTGTTGTTAATTTTTATGGAAAGAGGAGTTGGTAGGAAATAAAAAAAATTATTTTTAAAAGCTTATTTATTTTTAAGGGTATTCCTTGTTCGTTCTTTTTCACCTCTAACAATTTTTTACCGGTTCCATAGTTCTGTTTGTATGTTTTTACGTACTTTTAATTAAATAAAAATATATATTTTAGGTTTAGCAGAAGTTTGGAAGACGACATATTCTTGGAAAGAATAAATTAAAAATTAATTTATTTAATTTCTAATTTAATAACTTTGTGATTTTTAGGGAAAACTAACATCGAATTATTTTTTAAATTTCTTGTGATATTTTATTAATATTTTATAATTATTTTAAATTAATAAAGCTTTATGTATTAATAAAATTATTTTTTTGATTTTTACCGCATAAGCTGATATTATTTTGATTTAGTAAGGTGAAAAAGTGTGGAAACACCTAGTCCAAAATTCTTCTTGTTTTTAAGATAATTATCAATAAATTTTTAAAAAAATAAATATGTATGTACATATTTTTTAAAGTTTAAAGAATTCTCTAGCAGAATAAAAAATTATTTTTAATCAGGGCTTCGATTTCTGCGGATTTTTCCTCATTTTGTGGTTTTTTGATAGGGCGATGAGGATTATTTTTAAAAATGCGGATTTGCGGATTTTTGTGGTCTTTTCAAGATTATGAGGATTTTTTGTATTTTCTTATAGTTTTTAGGATAAAATGTAATTTTTTGTCTTCATGGCCTCCCAAAATCCGCAAAATTTTCGCCTGCGGCGCTGAAAAGGGGCGATTTTTGGCTTATTGGCATTCCAAAATCCGTAAAATTTTTGCCTGCGGCGCTAAAAATGTATGAAATCTAGTTTCTTGAGCTCCAAAAGTAAAAAAATTTTTGCCTGCGGCGCTAAAAAGTGAATTTTTTTGGCCTACAGCCATCTAAAATTCTCAAAATTTTCGCCTACGGCGCTTAAAATAAAAATTTTTCGCCTTCGGCGCCAAAAATTTGGCATAGAAAAAATTTCCCCCCTTTCCCCCCACCCATCCCCCGAAAAAAATCCTGGCTACGGGCCTGGCTCAAGTCAACATAATTTTTCCTTTAATTGTTCGGATTTTAATAAAATAGTCATTAGTAGGATAAAAATTGCTCAATTCAATTGTTGGAGCCAAAAAATATAAAGTATAAAGTGATTTTAATTCAACTTTTGTGTTTGATAATTTTTTGCGGATTTTTCATATCAAATGCGGATTTTTTCGATCAAAATTGCGGATTTTTAAAAATTCGAGATCGAAGCCCTGTTTTTAATCAACTTGATAGTTGATTTTTAATTTTAACCCATTTATAACTAAGCGAGTTAGTTTTTCTAAGAATGAAATTTAGGCCTGAATGTTATAAAGATTAACACAGGTATTTGAAATTAGCATTAAAATGATAAAAAAAATAAATTAGTATTGCTGGTAAGTATTGCTTCTTTCTTATTAAGACTCGATAGTATAAAAGTCTCGTTTCTTTTCATTTTCTATTTAATCTCTACATTACATCATTTCTAAATTCATTTTTCAGCGTGTGATCAAATGCTTCAATTTAGTCAAATGCTTTTATCAAGTTTATTGTTCATCGGCCTGTTCTCCAACATTTTGTGTGACGAGACTACAACAAGAAATTTCATCAAAGGATCAAACAAAACTTTAGAACCAAAATATGAATGCCGAATAACCAAAGCTCTCTATGAGATGTATATGGGAGTTACTTGGCATGGTAAACCTACTAGTCCAAAGAAATATTGTCGCGAACCTGGTAAATTTATTGTCTCCTTTTTAGTGAAAAAATCTTTCAATTACAGGCTGTTTCTACATTCAAGAACAAAGTAATTTTGGTTGGGTATTTCCTGGATTTCTCAATGAACCGGATAAAGCAAAAAGAGTTTTGGTAATTGACAAATGTTTGTATACCCAAAATAATTTTTAAAATTTAGATGGGTTGCCGTTCAGACATTCCCTATTTACTTTTGAGTACAAATCAAAATTTGAAGATCAATTACCATTTACGTTTACACCAAACTCTAATATTTCTTCGAGCGTGCTTTGCTGGAATTAAGGATGAAAATTCAATATTAAATGAAAACTGTCAGGCCGAATCGGATATCACAAATTATGGAAATGGAGAAATTTTATCAAATGAAACTTGGCTCGGACGTTTTTTACCTAGCGCTCAAAAGCGTTGTTTCTACAAATTTGTTGATGGAATTTTCTTTGTTCGTGATGAGAAGTTAGAACAACAAAGAGTTGTTTGTTGCAGTAATGGAACTAATACAGTACAGGGCGAGATACATTTTCGAGAAACTTGCAAAGTAACTACAAGAGGAATGAATGATGTTAAAAGTTGGCGTATAACCGATAATTAATTTTTGTGTTGTATACATTGTATGTATTTTCCAATTAATTGTGTAATTTATATTGTATTTAGTAGGAGATTATTTTAAATAAATTTTGTTTGTCTGAATATTTAAAAATAAAATTCTAAGGAAATAATTTGAATAACTTGAGTAAAGAGAAAAGCATTTCTCATGCCAAATCGTTTCAATGATAATTTTCAGACTTGGACAAGGAAATACCCTTCACTAAACACTAGTTTATTTATAATGATTTTTAAAAAAAATTTTTGTCGTCCAGATTTTAATGAAGTTTTGTCAATATCAAAATCCACAATCTGTTTGTGAACTCCCGGTGAGCATTTCAAAATTAGAATATTTTCTAAGCTCACCAGCAATCACAAACAGAATGGAGAAGTGACAATTTGTTAGATTTGTTTGAATAACTTGAATGGTGTTTTTGAAATTAATTTTCTTGATGAGGGACTTCCAATTCCCCTTCTGTATATTTTCTCCCGGTGAACAATTATTAAATGTGAATTAAACACAAGTTCACCAACAAGATAATACACAAAAGGGGGAAAAGTCAATTTAAAATAAATTTTTTAAAGAATTTTTATTTTGTCCAACATAAAATAAGCTCGAGTATTCTTACATGTGAATGTCTTTTTAAAAATTATTTCATTCTCATGTTGAATACAAGAACTCATTCCACGCTGATAAAACATTTTAGGAAGCGACAGAACCGCTAAGCAGAACATTTGTTCTAGTCATGCAAAATTTTTTAATTTTCAGAATCATGACTAAAGAACAATGCCCAGCTCAGAAGCTCGTCTAAAATAATAAATTTTAATAATTTTTAGACACGATAAGTCTACCCGTTTCATTTACGAGTTCGCTGATTTTGAAGAAAATCGTAAAAAAATACGGGTAGGCCAAACATATCTTTAGAAAAATTTAAATTTATTTAATTTGAAGAATTTAGGAGGGAATTTGAAATTTATAGGGAAATTTGGAGAATTTTAGAAATGGAAGGCAAAAATAATTTTTGAGTAGCAATATTCACAATTATATAGGGATCATATTTAGACACGCCTTTAACATAAAAATAAAAATTTCAACGACATTGCTCCATGCCTGTGATTTTTGAATGGAAAATGGGAAGATTAAAAGAAGAGCAAGACGAAAGAGGGAAAAATTTTGAATGAGGCAAAATTCCAAACTTATGTTTAAAGATGGCATTTTATGTTGACCAGGGCAAATGTTATTTTCTAATCCTTTAGAGTGAAATTCATCAAAAATATTTGAATAAGACGGTGTTGTTTGATGGTTGTTTGATTTGTTAAAGGTTTTTCTTTTGTAAACAAAGTTTAAATTTTTGGTGTTAGATCAGCTGCTCTGAGAAAAATTCAAATTTATGGAGATTATCTCATTGATTAATAAAATTTTTAGAAATTAAAATTAAATGTGTCGAATCTTGGTCTTAAATTTCTGAGAAAAATTTTAAAAATTGATGTTTTTTAACGATTGATACATAAGTTTTTTAATTTTAATAGAAAAAGCAAAATAAACTGCCGAAAAACATGCAACAACAATCAACTATTACTTGTTTATATGAAAAGCTGCTCAGACAGTTTTCGAATATAAAATTTTCGCAAAATAGAGGTCGCAAATCGAAATACTAAATTTTCAAAATAAATAAAAATCTTGATAAACATGCTTCATACTTAATTTTTAATGTAAATTTTCCTCAAAGCCTGAAATCTGAAAATCAAATTCATTTCCCCTCAAAAAACACACTAAGTTCGACAAAATGATAAATTTTAGCTGTTTGAACATTTTGTATCAGTAATGTCATAATGTAAAATTTCTTAACAAAGACGATAAATCCATCAATAAATATTTATCTGTTTATTTAGCTGGATATGCTTACATTTTGTTTTGTGATTAAGCTTAATCTTCAAAAATTAATTTTTCCAGTTATTCTTAATTAAATTCCAACATTGATCTGCTTTTATCAAATTTTGAAGCATTTTGATGGATTCTTGCAAGAGACTTGCTGATTTGGTTGATCAAGCTCGAGCGCGTGAACTACCTCCCAGTCTTACACTGGAAAAATGTCTTCAACTTCTTAACGAAATGCATCAAATGGGTGTTTATTATTCGAGTAAATGTGTAGACGAAGAAAGGGCTTTTCTTTTCTTTCTTCGATTTACTAGGTATTTTTTTGTGGAAAATTTTATAAATACGGGCGGACACTTCTCAAATATACATGCTCTATATAACATTCGACCTAGTTCATATAGATAAGTCGAACAGTACCAAAATTTTTTACCTACTCAACTTTGAACCAAGATAGAATTGGGTGCTTATCTAGTTTCCCATCCCTAGTCAATTTTTTTGTTAAAGACGTACGAAATGGTCAGCTTTAACAAAGAAATTGACTGAGGATGGGAAACTAAAGTACCGAAGAAGTGTCCGTATTTCGAACTTTTCTTTTTGGGAATTTTTTAGATTTTTTTTTTAAATTTCAGTGTTGTTGTAGAAGAATTGCCAAAACATCCTTGTTATGCTTCAATGTCATTAACAGATAAATGTATTTTAGATTCAAGAACTATAAATGCTATAATTAGTGCAGAACAATTAAAAAGGCGCATCAGAAATAGGTTTTAGTTATTTTTTAAAAAAATAAATTGATTACAAATTAGGGGTGAAAATGAAAGAGAGTCGGTAAAGAGTGCAACTGCGGGAAATTTAGATCAACAACAAGTAGCAACTACAAGTAGGGCATCTTCACAA